GATAGTAGATCGAACCACCCCACCTAATTAACGGCTGGTTACTCCTAAATTCAAAATGGAGGAGTACTACCGTGGGGTAACTGGGACTAATTACACACGCAAAGAGTGACAGTCCTGCAACACAAAAAGCACATTCAATAAATTTCAGAGTTCAGGTACCACTGGATTAAACAAATCAAAGGAAAAATCTCAAAACAGCAACTTTTGTTAGTATTGCAGTTGATCGGGTTGTTTCAAATGCATGGTTGGTATAATTTCCTTTTAGCATGTTTAAGTGTAGTTTTGGGGTATGCCCTCAATGTCACGGAGCCACATACACAACCGAGTAGCCTAGCACACCATGCTGATAGCTTGGAAATGTTGGAGAGATCTTTAAAGTTTGGCACCCGTGCCATGAGACAGGCATTACGTGCTGGGACAGGAACATTGGGAAAACACGCAAAGGAACTAGCAGCTGCAGAAATATCCAGGTCTAATTAGTTACAACGACCATCATGACGAGAACAGTTATTGAATACCGAAAAGTGATGATATTTCAGGAAGGCTTCAGCAGCTTCCTAGTTTATGATCTTCGAATTGATAAAACTTGGTCATTTGTGACTCTACATGCAGGTTGTGATGTGTATCCACGACCTGTTTCCCTATACGTTTGTAGGCGTGTTTGCTTTTGTCAGACTAGTTGAACTATGATGGTGAACTGAAACTGCTTAGTACTGGCTGTAAATTATTTAACACATTGAATTTCATCAAGTATATTGAGTTGGGTGAATTTTCACAATACAGCTCTAGCCTATTGGCCTTCTTTATTCTATGTGTACTTTATGGTATGTTAACCCTCAAAGTGTTTTTGGCATTGTCACAGCCGGGGGTGGAATCACCCCCCCCCATTTTGGCCATACGATGATGTATTTTAACTACATTTGGCAGTGCCATAGAGGCATACTTACTCATCGTCTGTGTGAAATTATATGTAAATTAATTAAGTTGGCATAATTATGACTCACTAATTATTCACTCTGCCTTTGTACGATGTGCGTACAAAGTCAATGGTGTACACAAAGTCAATGGTCATGTACTTTACGCCCTCTCGTGACCTCGTTTCACCAATTGACGGCTCGTTCTACCCGTTTGGGGAATCTCCTACAAACCATTTAACTTTTTTTTTTACTTTTCCTCCGGAAATCCGGAGGAACCAATTAGCGCCCAGGAAAAACCAGTTAAACTTGTATGTGATGAATATGGATCAATGACCTGCATCACATGACTTATCATGCAATATATTAAACGTACATGTACAAGCACTAATACCGCGCGAACTACTAATAACGTACTAATAAAATACCAGTACAGTCGCCATTGATCATGGCCGCGGTCGATGCATTGGAACAAGGAGCAAAGACGTAAGCCTGTAAAAGACTTCCTACAACAAAAGACTACAGGATGTTAATTTTAGGACTGAATGTTCTCAGAATGTCCCTAATGTCACCAATCTTCGTGTCTTCACCCTATTTCACGTAAATGAGCACGTGTAAAATGATGTCCTATTGACATTTTGAGGGCTGGACAAGCCAAGTTGAAAGAAAATTTGTTTAGTAAACCTGTGTTTTGGCAAGTTTGGCAATAGGTTTTAACAAGTGTTGTAAGTAATACCATAGAGGAAGGACACAAAAGGAGTTTGAACTGCTCGTGCTGTAACATCTGGCCAAATACCGCTTTCTGGCATTCCTGGTATGTCCATAGCCAGAGCGCAGCGCACACTTGCTACGCACGACATCTGTTCACAACCACAAAACCCCTTTGTACCATAATATCGCCACAGCAATTTGTCGATGGTAATCTGCACCTTAAAACTTCGTGTACTGAAGTATAGGAAATTCAATATTCATGCTCCGTTGGAGTTGGTATGGTCTCATCACAACATCAAATTTAATGCTGGCGCGTTGCTTGCATTACGCTGTGTGCACTAAATCTATGAGCAGTCATTTAATAAACTGTTTCTTCTGGAGTTATTATGGGAATAAATAGCCCAGTTGCTATTGTGTATTGTTTGAATCGTTTTTATTATGGCATTTGTACAAAAACGTATTTTTACTACCACTCCCTGTGATGAAATAGCGCATGTTGTTCTGAGTTGCAACTCCTTTGTCCTTCCTCTATGCTTCATTATGACATAGAAAAGTAATGACGAATTGCATTTTCAACGTTATTGAATACCGTTTGTTTGTTGGAAGTCCGAAGCATTCCGCAAAATATGCTTGTTTTGTGTCTGTGATTTTTTTGTTTAGTTTTATTTACCACCTCAGAAATGTGGGGGGGGGGGCAGGGGAGTGATTCGATAGCCCAGGCAGGATCAGACATTGTCAAAGTGTGTGTGATTGTGACTCCACGTGCACAGAGAGACGGGAGTATAATTTTTTTCCACAGCGTTTCATCGTAATAATTGTGTTGTCTCCCAATGGGTGTTGTGAAAATCATTCATTATACTTGTAAGTATTTGAAGTCATGAGATGATTGTGTTCACGAGGTATTTCTTGACTGTCTTGCATATCTGCTTAGCGTACAAATGGACTGTGAAGTTTAGCATTTGCTATTATTTACAAAACAGATTAACATATAGTTGGAGAATGTGACATTTGATCAACCTGCGTTTGTATAAGTTCATAACTGAAGAAAGAAGATTAAACCAAGAATCAACTCCAAAACAATGTGTAATAGATTTTTTGTTGGGTTAAATTATTTTTTTTCACTTTCCAGATATTTTGAATCCCTGCATTTTTACCCCAATTTACCATTTTGAGTTGCGCGATGGAGAAGTACATCACCTTTGAAGAGTGTAAGTACTGTTGTCATTGTGCGATGTGCTTGTTGCCTAGAAATGTTTCATTGTTTTAGGTCATTTTTATCAAGAAATACTGTCTACCCATTTTAAAGAGAAGACTTTCAGCAGTAGCAATTTCGTCTTTTCTGAAAAACCCACATACATTCTGCACATGACCATCAAGAGGGTCGTAGTGACCCCCAGATACCCCTGTCAAGAGTAAGGGACCGGCACTCATTTGGAGACAGTTACACAGCGTTGGCAACCTGCTTCAGCCAGGTGAGACGCAGACGACCTTGGGGCCTCCTCCAGGAGGCAGGTCGCTGACCAAGATGGAATTAAATAGCTGCGTCGAGGGCATGACAAGCAGGAGCCGGGGCTTGGAGGCGCCGGACGTGACCAAACAAAGTGTGTCGCCTCCCCGCAAATTTCGAAACGATGTTACCGAGCCTAGTGCGCTGAGAGATGGTGGCATTTGAAATGAAGTCAAACCACTGGACGCTAGTATGGAAGGCCTAAAGACGCTGTTGATCTCTTTTTCTCAGTGTCCATGTTTCAGCCCCATAGAGGAGGGCAGAAAGAACAGAAGCTTGATAGAGCCTTAGCTTGACAGGGAGGCCGGCCTTTCTTCTCGAAAGATGGTCTAATTGACCCATGATGTTGCTGGCAATTTCAATTCTGCGTGGGACATCGCTACTGCATAGACCTGAGGTGGTTACAGTGCCCCAGAGGTAGCAGAAGGACTCAACAGGATCTACGACATCGGGGCCAAGGGAAAATGGGGCAGGTGATGGTCTACCTAGGGATTGAACCTTGGTCTTAACGTACCCTAGAGGGTTTAAGGCCGATGTAGCTAGCTTCCCGTTTCAAGGTTGCAAGATCTATCTGGGTCGTCAATAAACAGCACAGTGCCATCAGGATATAGAGGTCGGTAAACCTATGGTTGCCTACATCGATCCCCAGTGTTGTCTCACACGCTGACAGAATGGTGTTCATGGCAACACATAATGGAGTGGGCACTGGCATACAACCATGCCGGACTCCTAAGGAAGTTGAGGACTATCCTGACCTTGGCTTTGGTGCCAGAGTGCAAAGCTTTGACCAGATTCAAATTGGTATTTGGAATCCCTTTGAAGAGAATATATCCCAGAGCTGGTTTCGGTCAACAGAATCAAAGGCAGCCTTGATGTCTGTGTAGGCGACATTAAGCGGGCGGTTGTACTCGTGATGGAGTTCAGCGAGTAGACGTAATGTAAGAATTGCGTCAGATGTGGAGCGGCTGGGAGTGAAACCTGACTGCTGTGGTCTCTGCAGGGAAACAAGTTGTGGACGAATTCTGGCTAGAAGAGTAAGCACAAACACCTTACCAGAAATCGAAAGCAAGGTGATGGGGCGGTAACTACTGCAGGCCGTCCTTGACCTTCAGTTTCCCTTTACATAGAGGAAGAATAATTCCATTCTTCCAGTCTGCCGGAACTGTGCCTGTGGACCACACTTTGGAAAAAATCTTGTGAAGAGCTCTGCTTATGGGCACCTCAGCAGATTTCAAACACTCGGAGACCGAAGATGCCATCGTCTCCTGCTGCACAGCCCAATTTCAACTTTCGGATAGCAGCCCGCACTTCACACAACGATGGAGGGTCGCAATCAAGGTCAGAGACTACAGCTTCAGGGGATGTGGTTGAAAGCGGTCTTGGGGAAGCAGCTGGGAAGTTTAGCGACTGGCAGAGGTGTTTTTTTTTTCGGTAGGACAGCATTTCTTCCAACGAGTTGCTCGGAGAGCCGTCTGCTCTGGAAACCAAGGAAGGAGCTGAAGGCTGACCAACTCCACGCAGGCGCTTCACTGCTTTGAAGGCGGGGCAGAGTTTATTCTGTCTCAGGCCACCTTCGGCCCCAGAGATGATGGAGTCGTACCATGCGTTCAGGTCTTGTTTTGCCTTGGCTTAGTATATCTCCGCCAGAAGATGACTCTCGGCACGGATGGAGCTTAGACGGGCAGCTCGTTTCTGCTCAATGATTTCAAAGGTGCTGTCAGTTAGTCAGGGGCGACACCCGGGAACGACGGGCAGGCACAACCTCTTCAGCAGCACCAAGAACAGCACCACGAAGAAGCATCCCAGGAGTCTTAGGAACCTCAGTAGAGTAGTCGGTTGCCACCAAGGAGTCTGTTAATTACAAGAGGATGGTTGTCTGGGCGGTGTTTGGGAAGAGATTTCTTTGTGGAGGGATTGATACGAACCTGAGCGACAAGAAGTCGGTGATCAGTGTTGGCAGGGGCTTCAGCACCGCGAATAACCCGGTAGGACTTCAGGCAGCTCCAATCATTGACAAGTATGTGGTCAAGCTCTTTGGCTGTTTGACCGTCATTCGATATCTAGGTGAGTCTGTAGATGTTTTTCCGCTTGAAATATGCGCCTGAGATGGCTAGGCGGTGAGCAAGACAGAAGGAAATCGTGCAAACTGAGTTATCATTTACCGTACCGTGGCTAAAATTTCCAACAACATCTTCAAAGCCAGACATGTCGGAACCTGAAACCGCATTAAAGAAAAATCACCGAGTACAAACAACTTGACATTGGGAGGAAAAGAGGAGACGCAATGAGAAAGTTGGCCATAAAAGGAATCCTTTGTCTGAGTCGCAGGCAACCTCAGTGAGAGCACACACGACAATGAAGATGCTAGCCCCATGCTGGTGCTTGAGTCTGACAGCCAGCAGACGTTCGAAAATGGCCTGCCAAGATAATATGAAGCTGTTGGCTCTCTTATTGAGGAAAATGTCTACACCGGTGCACTGGTGTGACCGGATCCACCGGAAAAGATAATGGAGTCGTGACCTACGCTCATGATGCCCTTAACAGGAAAACGGGTGTCATTGAACTCAGCGATCAAGATGCCGAGCCTACACATTTCCTTAGTAATAGAATCAGGGAATCCAGCATGAGTCAGGGTGAGCACATTCCAGGTAGCGATTCTTGTCACATGTCAAAAATTGAGACGGGCTCCGGCATGAGTCCCAGTCGATGAACGACCTTCCCGAGGGCTATGAGTCGTCCACGTCATAGATGCTAAAGCAGCAGGGACAGGTGTACGGATGCTGGTAAGAGCAGGGGCTTGACCCTGGTGCTATTATTCACTTGATCCATAGGGAGAGGAGGTATACACAACAAATACTCGATATCCTTAGGAAGGGGGCATGGTAGCGCAGTAGAGGAGCCACACAAACCAACACCGGCGTAGTACCTTCTCCTAAATCCGGCACACATTGTTGACGGTAGGCTTTTGAAGTCAGAGTTGTCCTTCTTCTTGGCAGACTACCAATCAAGGTCAAAGAGCCCCGCCTACCCGGAGCATCTGGATATAGCGCCAGGAACTCGCTGACGCCCTCTCCTATTCTGTGGAGACGTGAGATGGCACGAGAAGCCAGGCAGTAGGATTTGATTGGAAGAGGCTATTGTAGAGATGCTGTGCTATGACATGGGACATTCCAATGGAAATGGAACTGCTCAATTCTCCACACAACTCCAGCACATCCTAATCCTTTCATCTCCCACCATGCTTAAAATCATAGCTTTTCTTAGGTGTATTGTAACCCAATGCGTTTAATGAAACTGTGATCACGAGAGGTTTTTTCACAAGTTGATTCAACCCTGATTTGCTAATTTTCAGATTGAATCCTTAAAAAATATCTTTTTAGATCAAGCAATGTGGAAGTCCTTTATGGATTTTGTGGTGCAAGTACCAGCAGGACAACCCCAAAACAAGGTGGAAGGAATCACGCTACCCCCGAAAGCTACTGATGCAGTCAAGACTTTGAAGCACTGGGATGTCAGAGAAGATGATGTGTGGTTGGTGACTTACCCCAAAGCAGGTAAAACTAAGGTTCCTTTTCCTACCATGACACAGTGATGGAACTGTTGTGATAGCATGCAGAGCCGTGTATGGAGGCTTTGCATGATATCCATCTTACAGGGCAGTTTGTTTGTTTCACAATTAAACCTCCTACATGCATACGTATATCTTTTGAGCAAGGGAACTTCCTGCAAGATGGCTATACCACGCAAAGCCTCTAAAGAGCGAGTTGCGACGTTGTTGGAACCGAACTCCCAGTGTAGGCAAACACTGAACAGGGACAGTTGGTGTACAATAGCCGCACGGTGTATTGAGCACATAAGGACCGGCCATTTTAATTTAAGATTTTCGCCCTGCCCGAAGTGTATTTTAACACTATTTACTCAATGTATGCCCCAAAAGGCTTGTGGAAAAAAGCAAAGCGTACTCAGGTGCGACCGGAACCCACAACCTCCTGCTTTCTGGTGCAGACTTTTTTCTTTTTTCTTTTTTTTTTTTAACAAGTGTTTGGGGCATACACCGAGTATACACTGTTAAAATCCAAACTTAAATTAATTAACACCTCCCAGGCGCAAATTCATCTTTGAAATAAGAACGGTCATCTTGTTTCTAAACTTCTGAAGCCAAACCAGGGCACTGGGAAAAGCTGAGTGATTGCTTTGCACTGTGATTGGTTACATTGTGCACAGCCCTATGACTGCGAGGTTATCCCTTCCTGTCAGCGAGGCCTTTTTTTGGCTCGCCACTTGTAATGCCTTGACACTGGCAAAGTGTCAGCTATATGATAAAAGTATATGGCCGTGGTACTTTCACAGTGTGGTAATTCATCTTCTCACTAAGCATCGCTGACCACGTGTCTTTCGGTGGTATACTTCAATCATTGGTTATCTTACTCAATTTTTGATGGAACAAATACACCATACTTATTTAATAAGGTGTAGTGATAATATTTTCAGCAGCAGAGGAAGAACAAGAAAAGATATCGAATTAATAACCGCTTGCCTAACGCATTGGGCGAGCTCGAACGCCTGAAAAATCTACCCACAATGCTGCACGCGTCGTACGTGACGTATTTCCTTCACAAAAATTTGTGCAAGGCCAGCAGCCCTTCCCAGGGCCCTGTTCAGGCGCTAGGCAACGAGCCAAAGTGTCTGTGTCGAGCAGAAGCATCCCTTCATTGGTTGAAAAGAACAATTTAGGTTTGGAGTGTCCATTTTGTTGGATGGAACCATAGCGCGAGCATTCCATAGTCGTTTGTGAACCAAAGGAGCTTCCGTCGCAAAGAAAAGTGAGTGTAGACCAAAGCACATAAGGACTTTACACTTTATGATGTTTGCTTTCCTACTGGATCGTGTCCCATCCTAACAGCCATAGAACAAAAAGGAATGTTATTACAAGTCTATTCAACATGCGATATGACGTAGTGTTTATACTCCAACAGGTACAACCTGGGCCCAGGAGATTATGTCCTGCGTGATGTATGACGGGAACATCGAAGAGGTCAACAAGAAACACGGGGCATTCCGAGTCCTGTTCCCGGATATGGACATTCCAGAGTTTATTAGGAAAACAAAAAATGTAGGCAGTGCAATGTATCTTCTAGATAACAAACTATATTGCCCCAAAAAACCAAATCCAGGGCACTATTTTCATGTACATGTGTAGCCTTTTCACTGCAAGAAAGCTAAAACTTAAATCGTCGAGAAGAGTTTACTGTTTGTAGTTTGAAGTGTCCGAGTACGTCAATCTGACACAAAATAGATAACGAGAATTAGGATGCAGGATACACTTTAAGGAAATTCCACGGGGTACAAAGTTTTCTTGCAAATCACATTGTATTTTTTTATAAGTGCAAGTAAATTGTATACCTTTTTGTAGAACAAAACCCGTCGACGTTATTGAACAATATACAAGGATGGATGAGGGATGGGAAGCATAGAATGCCACAAAATGTAGCCTTGCCCGCCACAATAGCCATGAAAGTTTCATGAAAATATTTCCAAATTCCAATATTTCCACCTCAATTTGTTTTTGTATTCTTCCTCGGATGTTCTCTTGCCTCTTTAAACTCATTTACTGTGTTTTGTTTTTCTTCCAATTACACGTTTTGAAATCGTTTGCATTTGATCAATTAAACAAATCGAACTGCACATTGAATGGGCGAATCTCATTCAGATATGTAAAACAAGACTCTGAATGGAAGGACATTAATTGGAGGTCTGCTATTAAACAGGCGGTGTTCATGTATCCAGATCTTGGATCAGGCATTGAGGCTAGACAAATCTGAACTTTGTGCCAAAATCAGCAGCTTCCTTTTTCATCCAAAAAGGAACCCTCAACCCTGCTGGCAAAAACGTAGGTGGTACCACTTCTAAAATGCCTGCACTTCTCATTCCTTACAAAAAGACATTATGTCTTTGGGAGGGGATGAGATAGAGCATTGCATGAGGGCTGGGTACAGGGATATGCGTGGGGCTGGATCCAGCTGCTGACGTAAGTGTGCAACGTCATTTGCAACAACCGAAAAACGTATTTTTTATCTTACCCATAGCTGCCAGCTTGTTATGAAATCGCCAAGGAGATGCCTTCCCCACGGGTCATCAAAACCCACATGCCCGGCCAGCTGCTGCCTCCTCAGATCTGGGAGAGGCGCCCCAAGATTGTCTACATCATGCGCAATCCTAAGGATTTGACAGTGTCCTATTTCTACTTCTTGAAGTTGGCCAACCCGTCACCAGACTTGCTGAATGAAACTTTTGAGGAATTCCTGAATAAAACGCTAACAGGAGACGGTAATATTTTTTTTGTCTGTTTGCTTTTGCTTTATTTTTTGGAGTGTTTTGTTTGTTGAGGGTGTGTTTAGTTGTCCCTGGTATTGCTTTTTTATTTGGGGTGAGGTGAAAGAGGAATGGTTTACAGTAAGTATTAGTCTATAGCATCAGCTTTGGAAATTCTCACGAAAGGCAAATCAAAGAACACTGTCTTGATGGTAGGAATTCAGGAGGCAAAAGGAAAGGAGAAATTGGGAAAGGAGTGATAATGAAGGAGGTCTATATTGCAGGGGTTATTGTTTTGTGTGTGTGCGCATTATTATTTATTCATTTATTTATTTATTTTTATATTTTGGAAGGGGGACACGTGGTTTGGTGTAACCGTGGCTTCATAATGCATGGCTGTATTGTAACAATCTGTAAACGCAAGTGGAAACCACCCTTTTGAAAAGCCGAAATGACCAAAAAAAAATCCAGAAAAGACACAAATCCAGATCGGGAACTAAACCAAAAGCACTGACCCAATTCAAATATGCAAACCCGACCGAATATAACAAACAATGCACGCTAATTACAGCAGAAGACAATCCATCTATAGTGCTCTCTCCCCCTCAATATCAAGGCCTTTATTTCCCTCTGGTAAACTGTGGTCCGCACTATCCCAAGAAAAGAATAATTCACAAGCTGTTGAAAAACTTATGCAGTTATAAAAACCACCAGATAATCAATACTACACGATGTTCAAAGAAAATGTTGCCCACTTGCATATAACCGAACACATACATGTACGTGTAGGGGAAAAACCTGACATGCAGCAACAGACATTTCTGCTAACTCGACCCTTTGTATTAATGTAGTGCCACAGACAGTATGAGAGAAGTCTTTAGAAATATCTTGATTTCGATCGAAACTGTCTTGCTTCCAGGCATGCTATATAAATAATATCCCCGAATGATTTGTTTTTCTGCCACACGGAGCTAAGATATCTCTCGAGGCTCAATCTCGCTGAAGCTGCATTGAATTTCTTCCCTTATCTTGCATCTCTCAGTTTTTTACGGACCGTGGTGGAACCACTATTTGTACTTCTGGAGGAAACGCAACGACCCAAACATTCTTGTGCTGAAGTATGAAGACATGAAGCAGGTGAGTGATTGACCATGGAATTCTAGTGAATGAGAAGGGAAGGGTGTTGCGATACTTTACAAGAAGTCCAGTGGTGTCAAAACTCCTTGCAAGCACCTAAGAGGAAGAACTTTCACCTGAGAGTGATCAGTCTTGGGTTCCAAGCGAACGACAGCAGTTTTCCCAAGTGCCGGTGTAGCATGTGTCGGTGGAACTAGTGTCGGCGCATGGTGTCAACTACTCTATTTGCGTGGCAAATGCACGGTGGATGATATGTCACCCGGGAGCTGTCTATTCGAAAATGAGTTCTGTATGGATGAATTATCACGTTTTGGGGGCAAGTTTATTTGCCCCATCTCGCTACTTGTATACCACCAAAGAACTGGAAGACCATAAAGTCCACGTCATTTTGTTGTCTCTAAAAACAAATACTCTTCGATTAAAATTATGACATGTCCTGTCCAAATAGAATGCTCCTGGGCAGCTGGCAGAAATATGCTTGAACTGTTAAAAACGGTTGTGTTTAAATCACAATATTAATTTAATGACAGAGAAATGTGTATAATGTGAGAAATTGGGTTCCCAATTCAAAAGTTTATCTGTCCCCCATCCCCTCCCATGTAATACACTACCGTTGACAAATGCTAAGTAAATAATTCTCAAAATATGTTTTACTTTTCATAATGCAAACAATTGTTTCATCAATTTAATTTTTCTTTAACTGCGAGGTAGGATCTGAGAGGTAACGTGGAAAAAATCAGTAAGTTCTTGGGCAAGAATCTATCAGCCGAGACACTGGATACCATAACAGAACACTGCAGTTTCGCAAAAATGAAAAATAACCCCATGGCCAGCCTGGATAGTATTCTCCGTCATGATAAGTCCCAAGGCGTCTTCATGAGGAAAGGTAAATAGGCGAACCAGCAGTTAATATATGTAGCTTGAACTAGTGGGGTGTGGTCTTCCTAATCAGCAACACCAAAAAGGGGACACAACCCACAGGATTTACAACGACAAAACTTCTTTATTCCACTGGATATCGGGCTTTCCCCACTGCAGTCAGAACAAATATACTGTTTTAACTCTCATCCAAAATAATGTATAACAATGTCAAACAATTCCCGCCCTGAACTTTGCCAAACCCTTCCCACACCCGCTAAAACCACATGTATCCCGAAATGGAAACCAATTTCCGGTGCGCACACAATGTTATACAATAACAAAAGAAGCAGGTGGGGATGCTCCACCCGAGGCCCTCCGTCAGCGGCCCCCCGGATCTGTCGGCGGCTGAGGCTATTCTAGTGGTAACAAAAGCTATATTAAAGGCCCGTTAGATATAGATTTTCCCGGTTATTTTAAACGTTTCTCATTCCAATTCCCCTCATGATGTTTTCAATTTAGTCTAAGAAAAAATGTCCTGCCCTTGCCAAAAATGATTTCGCCTTTAACCATTCAATTTCAAAGAAAGGTCAAGACATTGTAAGATAACGTCGAGAATATTCGTCCTTACAGTTCATATTCATCCAAGGGGTCGCAGAGTCGCGGCATTTTAAAGTCGAATTCGTCTTGCGTCAATCTCTTTAATACTTTTTTAAAAATTTTAATCAGTCCAGTTTCACTCAAGCACAAATAAACGTGTTTGTTTGCATGCTAAGAAAGAGTTTAGTTGCACTGCGCAGAGAACATGGCCTACACAGAAATTTATCAATATCAAGGCGAATGTGAAAGCAAAGCCAATTTGACGTCACGAAAATTTGCATCAAATTTCAACATATTCAACTTTTACGAATTTGCACCGCCAATATGTGATATGACGTCACAAAATCGCGTCTGCGTTCGCTTTCGGGTTAAGCATGAACCAGCCTTAAACGAATTTGTTTTCTGAATAAAGCAGCTTGGCCCCAGGGATACAAAATATAACAATATACAGCGATCGTGCTCCTAGTTAGATTTCGGTTGGCCGACAGGTGATAATATGGTCTCACAATTGACGAAATTGTAACATTGCAAGTACCCTGAATCAGTTAGTCACCGTTTTCACGAAGGGCCACACATGTCCAAAATGGAATTTCGTTTTTTCGATTTCGACTTGTGTTTCACATTTTTGTTCTAATCACCGTTCTTAACCATTCTGACATGTTTCTTCAAGCAAGACATCATTAATTTTAAAATGGCATTATTATTGTAAGGGGCCACAATTTCGATAACTGCACGCGGTCTTACGAAGAGACGCGAATCTTAATGCCCCCCGCACACATACAAAACGTATTGACTGGAAGTCCAAAAAAGTAACTGAGGTTTTCATTTTCAAGAAAAAACACATCTTTGTTACATTCACAGCGCGTACGTGAACGTGCGTGCCCCATCCCTGTGAGAAAAAATGAAGAGAGGCCAAAATGTAGGAAACTATCCATTTTTTATTTCACAAACGGACGCGCATCTTCACTAATTGATTTTGGGTAATTAACCACTGTATTTATTCTAATTACCTGCCAAGGCAAATGTTCATCTCTCAAAGAATCATTTCTGGCTTTTTCACTGCATAAACATGTTCCGTGGTAGTATATTTTGCAGTTTTACAATCGGAGAAACCTCTTTGGCAATCATCTTGAAAACCAGCTTTTCTAAAATCTCATTGTGTGGCTCTTTGTGAAAGTAGTGGCGAGTTTCACTGAAAGAAATAAAAAATGCATATTTGTCAATTCGAATGAAAACTGTGTTACAATAGCCGTGAAAATCTATATCTCAGGGAAGCCTTACATTTCCGTTTCTTAAGGGTAAGAAGTTGGGTTGAGTCGGGGTAAAAACTTCCTTAGCAGTGGCATATCCAGCCGAGCAGAGTTGCCATGGAAGACATACTGCCCTAATTTTAAGGAATTGAAAGCTCCTGCATTAACTTAATGTCAATTGCTTTAATTTTATCAAATCCACAGGAATAACTTAAGAACCAAGCAAGGTTTGACGCACCCATATTATGAAATACCAATAAACTGACACCCCGTTTGTGAAGCGAACGTTAAGCATAAGGAATATGAATAATGTAATATGAATAATTTGGGGGACAGAAGGGTTGAACAAGTTGTGTGTTGTTACTGATCTAATATGATGGCTAAATATGCAGAAAAGGGATATGTGTCTTGTTTCTTCCCAACTAATTCCCAAACTTGGATATATATACTGAATTTTGTTTTCCACCATACGTGAACAAGTAAAATCACCGTTCACGAGCGCTAAGTGAGGGGAAATTCAATTACTCCCACAATCAGCTGAATTTCACAGTACTCCTCAATTTCAGGACGCAACAACTTATGGTTGAAACAGCCGAGAAATTAGCGGGAAAACTAATGGGGGAAACTCTTAATAAAACACAAACACCAAATTATGACATGTGACAAGTCACTCATCATACTTTCATGTTCTGGACAGTTGACAAAGTTCAGGAACATGTAAATTTGCAATGTCCTGAAGTTTTTTTCTGACAATTTTCTCTTTTCCAAGGAATGTATCTGCTGTAATTAAAGTTTAATTAATATCTGTGTGTCAAATGTAATGCAAACAGCAAACTAACGCAATTAGAGCATTTGTGATCATCAATTGTCAACATCCAAGTTTCCACAACTTTGAATTAGATGCTTCTAACACGAAAAGGTATGTTCGCTCTCTTATAGCGTAGCAGTCAAATACAGTTGTCAGTGAAATGAAACTATTGAGCCTAAATGTCAGGCAATTGCAACGAGTTCAAGGGACTGTCGCGGGAACTGACAGACTTTCACGAAATTTCATGTAAGGTTGTCAAGTGTATGGCCCCAGATCATTGAGGCCATTAACAAGTGTAGACAAGGTATAAGATCCGTTCACTGCATAAGCTCAGAAGTGTCGTTCATAGTCATGTGCAGGATCTGTAGATTTGTTGCGTTTGGATAGGGTTGGATCGGTCGAGGCGGGTCGGTTCGGGTTAGGTTAATTGATTGGCCTTATTTGTCTGTTCGTCCGTGTTGGCTAGCTGCATTCATGATCATTTCTGAACAAAAAACAATAAGACATGAACACAAGAATTATTCGTACGAATTGCAAAAGACTCTTACCTTTTCTGACTTGATCAATAAGCAGGAGATCATCAATACGTTCATCAATGAGTCCATCCACTGCTGCGTTGCTTAGCGTCAATGGTGAACCGTTCGCTTATTAAATACCTTCCACGAGTCAAAACCTAAGACACAAAGGCTGGGACTCGAGGAGCCCAGGTTTAAAAAAAAATAATAATATTCAACGAATTAAAAGCGGTTGGAATTTGGACCAAGTGCATCAATTTGATAACCATTCCAAGGCAGGCAGACTGAATCACGAAGCAGAGTGAAACTCGTCTTAGCATGTCAAATTGATTGCATGAGGAGACCAAAGGGTGGACGCCCTTCGGCGCTATCATTGGCTCACAATGTGCCCTTGAGCTCCACAAATCCTCAACGGGAGACTCAACATCTTAATCGCAATGGGCCATTATGTTTTAATAAAGACCATTGTATGGACATTTCATTTTTGCCAGGGTTACTCAAATTCACATTTTTCACTCGATATAGCTTGAAAACTTAGAAATTAAGTTACTGAACCTGGAAAGCGCGTCATTCAGTGATGCTATGGCAACCATCTTTGCGAGAATAAACCAATCATTTGGTGCCTTGATCTTGATTTTTTACATTGCAACTGATCGCAGGGATAAGATTCATTTAGAGCCCACGTGGAGGGAGGAGCTATCGTATCATATACGTACGGTAATATGCTGCTTGCTATCTCGTTAGTATTATAGAGAACTGTGAAGAGTGACAGAGGGTTGAACTAGCCAATGAGTAATAATTTCTACCGTTGTTCATGTCGCTTTTTAGGTGCGATTGGGAATTGGAAGACCCACTTCACTGTGGCTCAAAATGAGGCGATGGACGCCCACATTGAGGAGAAACTACATGGTACTGGGCTCACCTTTAACTACAATTAGCCAATCATGGGACCGGCTGGCCGCAATGCGACTTTTGCAACTTGTCGGCTTGCAAATTTGAGCACTGGTCAATTCTTATGGTTTAGTTTCTCTTACAGACAATTGTAAACAACCCAAAGCGCGTACAATACGAATTTCAAGAGCAGTCTATAATTAAAGGCCTCTGAAAAGGGAATCATTTGCTTAGAATCATGGAATGCCATGCCAGCAGGATATCACATGCACTGTTTGACCACCGTGTACAAAATCAAGGAAACGGGCATAGGCCGATCACTAATTATTTCAGGTTTGGCTTAGAATTAAGTGCAATAGAAGTCATCCATATGTTTAGCAACTTGGAATATGGTCAAGGAGAACATGGGAAAGGACTGATGGATTGCAAAGCTATTTTGGGACACTACATGGAGGCTACATTCTCATTCTTTTCTATCTAACCTAAAAAAAAAGACAAACTTTCCAAATTCAGTCGTCAAGTTAAATAAATGCTTCGTTTTTTGTACATTACGGCAGTTGCAGGAGGGATCATCACCAAAAACATTTTTTTTGCCAAAAACGTAGCATGTCAAGAGCTGGGGCATGTCTGATTTAGTACTGTTTGTCACTTTATAGTGCTGCTAGTTTCTTAGGAGGTTCAAGAAGGCGGTTTAACAGGGACATCGTCCGTTTGATGGAGAACGTTACAGCTAAGCTAAATGAACAAGTATGTACACGAACAATTTATATCAGTATTTCAGACAAAGCTTAATGCAAATTCTCAAAATACATGTATATGGAAGACTTTATGACAAATTCGTAGTAAAGTCAAATAGAGAAAATAAAGTAATGTTTCATAGAACGGCGCACTCAAAAATTGGATGCTGGAAGACAGGAAGAAGAGAAGCATCTAGTTCAAAGCCATTAAGGTCATATGTCTCAGTAGTGCATACCTTGCAAATTTTGAATGATGATGTGAATTGAAACTTGTCCACATTGGTTTAGTAGATATTGAGCACTGGAGTGTCAAACATAGGCGAAAATTAGCTGGGGAAAAACTTACTTTTTTCTGATTCCTTTTTCTTTTTACATGGTAACTTGATGGTATACACTTTTTTTGGGGGGTGGGGATGTCTTCCTACTCTTCTACCCCCAGTCCTGACTTCATACAGTGTGAAAACGTCTCCTCTTGGTCCGTATGAGTCTAGGCAGAAATAACAAAAGAACAGAAAGGGGTTGTTCTCAATATTTACAACTTTGGAAGGGTGACCCACAGGAATGCCAATCCCTTCCATTCATTTCTTCTTTTATCTAAGTGATATTCAGAAATTATCAGATAACTGCTCTCTGTAACTTAAAAGATCTTTTTGTTATAATTACACTATTTACTGAGCTCTAATTACTAATACCATACTGCCTTTGCAATCCAGACATTACAATGTAATGTTACGAAAAATGACTGAGTGCGATACATGCCAGCGTTATTATCATCGTCTTGATTCTACTGAAATAGGAATACACTCTGCCTCGTGACAAGTATATCAAAAAGTGTGTTAAATGGTTGTCATATATAAATTCAACGGTTATTTCCATCGGACATCACTTCTTCATATTATTTGTTGGTTAAAAGAACAGTGGAGAAAAACTTCTGGAAAAAAAACAAGGGGGGTAAGGCCTAGCAAAATATTAACAACGAGTAAGTTGCTATAATGGAAAAAATGTTTGCCTGTCGAATTGCAGATCGGACATTCTTGCCATACCCTGACTTATATACCTGAGACTCATAGCTCAGTGTACTTCTGTGATGCGGAATAATATTTCACAGTAAGAACTGAACTTTATTCTAATTCGCTACCCCGCTAAAATGAATGAAATGACTTTTTTTTCACCACCTTTCCAAGGGGAAAAGTCCTATTGGGTCAGACTGAACGGGACCAAAAGGATTCCATGACAACAGGCCCACTGCATTGGAATCCAACTGGTTTCAATGGCAGTGGGATTGCAGTACACGAGATCCCATTGTGTCCCGATGAAACAGGATCCCATTTGGCCCCATGGCAACAGGATATCCTTGGACCCTAGGATTTGGATTTATCAACAAAACCAAATGTATTGGTCTCAACAGACGAGACTAAAGTTTTACGAATATTAAACTAGAAATTATTAAATTGACAATAGAGATTACTAAACTAGAAAGGAAAGCGTAGTGTAGTGGACAATGTCCGAACTTTCTTGATTTATTTTTGCTTAATGAGGATTGCATTACTTGCGTAGTGTGTAAATGTCTTGTGACGTCCGCAGGATGGGCGGAGCGTAGCGCTCTGCGTATGTAGTAAGTTCTTGGGTTTGTGCGTGATCAATGCGCCTGCGTAAAGTGGCCAGAGCTTGCTTTATAGCAAGTGTCAATACAGACGTAAGTTCTGGGTGCTCTCGCTGTGGCGTATGTTGCTATAGAATGTAGTGTATTGTGGCGGGACAACTGACACCTTTTTGTGGCAGACCAGAAGAGATGGAATTGACTTGGCCTAACCCCACAAATATATTTATTTAACCTTACACAAGAATGAGCGGCTATCCAAACGCAAGTGGGGATACCGGTTAACGAACGGTGGATTATGCCTTAGGGGCTGTTCGTTTGGTGGAAGTTTACCACCGCTCTGTGATTAGGTAATTGATCCCAATGCCAATAAAGATTACAATAAATGTCAATAAGTGATACAGGACTGAACTAAATCTCACGGTGACCAGTGATTTCTAAGGCAATTATATGATTGGTTTATTCAATGTCAGTGCTCAGTTATCCTTTATATACAACAGCAATTAATTGTATGCAAAATTATCCTCACGGGGAGGTAGTCCAACGTGGTCAACTGCACCACGAACGTGATTAATCAGCCTTATCCTTAACCTACACCAGAAGAACCCTCACGGTGATCAGGATAAACCTCACGGCGATCAGGGTAACCCTCACAATAACCAGGTAACCCTCACAGTGATCAGGGTAACCCTCAAGTCTAAATAAATAATCTACCGATGGCTTATAACTGATAAGTCTTGACCACACAATGCAATCTTCGTAATTATACTACACAACAGGGTAGATTTATACACAATAATCTCTACTGCCTTACAAAAGCAACACAGTTCCCAAACTGCAGCAAGGTTCAAGGTGACTTAAATAACCCTGACCCACTTCAAGTTATTACGAAATAACACAGGTAAGTTGATTAAGAAGGCGATTATAATAGTCCTCACCAGACTCTAACGGACACCTGCACCCAGTAAACCTCAACGAGGAAAGCAAGCTCCCAGTCCAGGACCCCAACCAACCGTCGCTATGCCATCAAGCATGGAACAACGGCACACAATCCTTCTAGTCTAAGCTCCGCTAATTCCCCAATTAACTGGCTCACACGGGTTCCCTAACCCTATAATCTACCACTTCTTAAATAAACGAGACTGTCTAACGATTCTCCAATCTTCAAAGAGATCTGATATAATCGGCAGCTCCGACAACTGAGAACAAGCACCATACTAACCGATCGCACCAGCTAAACTTGAGGTAGATCCCCAACCACAAGCGGTCGTACGTCACATTTACACTCGAAACTCAGAACACAACACGACTGCACAGAGCTCTGGTTAGCACGCTGCCATCTTGAGAAGTCCCAGCAACCCACGCAGCAAGCGCCCAGACCTAAGGTAATGCGCGCCTCTGATTGGTTGCCGCGTGCATGTTTAATGCATGATTAGACGGGCCTGAATTATTAATGACCCAGACTAAACACAAGTCTGCGCAGCTACCCTGTTTCGCCACAGTAGTATGCTGCAATATGATAGACACTAGTCTTGGTCAAGACGCTGTTGTGCTGGTGATACGCGAGGGAGCACTCACAAAACGAACAGATGGAACGAGCGAATCACATCTAGTCACCCCAGCAACAAGGTCTTGGGAAGTTGGCAAAATCTCCACCGTAAATGGGGAAACAAACTGCGCATGCGTGTTACTTACGAATGCGGGCGCTTCGCATTTTTTTTTCGGTTCAAGCGCTCATATACACGTTGAACAGGCAAGATGAAGTTGCACTAGTCTGGTACAATCTTGTACGGCACTTGTCGAAATTTGTGTTCAATAGCCGGTGTGGTACATGTACGTGTACTTGCTGACTGGCCGGTTGACGGTCTGACGTGAACGGACAGTCACATTATCATGGCAGCATGAACCACGATGGTGTAGGATTCGTAGTAAGGGGTTAACAATAATTGAAAATGGCTTTTCACACGTGGAAGACCGAATGTTTGAGCAGCAAACTGCAAAGCATCATCAAAGTGTTTGGCCAGTTTTTCCGTAGCACGCAAACGTACAGTTATGTACAAGTACATATACAATGTACATGTACACATAATACATGTCGGCCTACATGCACATCAGCTCGTCTTGCCAGCGCCCTCTCGCGTATCAGGAACATAATATCTTGACCGCTGCTCAACACGTTGTTGGGACCCAAACATATGTGCTGCACCTCACAGTCTGGGCTCATGCCTAGGCACGGGTTTACTGTCTCCGTGAAGCGCACGTATATTTGAACCGCTCACTTAGTTTGTGTGCATGTGCACTGCATCATTTAAAGCCCGAAGAAAGCAAAATGACTTTTGACTAAGGCAGGTTGACCCAAAACTAATCGATCAATATCACGCTCAGATATAGTTGCTTTCCCATCATTTTCACACCGATTAGAAATTAAACACTAAAAGTACCTTTTGCTGTGTCGCTTTTTCTGCCATTTTTGCCAGTCCTTATCGCGTACATCCAAAGTAACAGAGCTACAACCTGGAAGGGAAGCGAGCAGCTTAGAGGGTATTTTTCAGTTTTGCCGATTTTCCCTGACATTTCTTATACTGAATGGTGAAAAACATCACGAACACTCCAATGAGTACGTCTTTTGCAAGAAGAAAACCATATGAGTGAGAACGGACAGTTTTAGTTTGCGCCTTTTAGTCGGGCAATTTGACGTCATAGTACGTAT